ATCTGTTAGGAAGAATTTCATAATAGAGAAAACCATTCCAGTTATTCCGTAGCTGGAGGGCATGTGTAGAAAGCCTTTGTGTCACACATTGTCGAAGGCCTTTGAGATATCTAATGCTATGGTCCGTGTGGTATGTGTGTCGTCAAGGGCCTCACTAATTCTGTGTGTAATGGTAAGACATCAGCAGTGGATAGGGCAGATCGAAATCCATACTGCTCGTCGCACAAGAGCTTGTTTCTATCCAGGTTCTCGACGACTTACTTGGTGATTAAGTCCTCAAAAACCTTATTGATGATACTGAGGAGACTAATAGGTCTATACCGGGAGGAGGAGGATTGGTCGCCTGAGTTCTTGAAGACAGGATATACGCCTGACACCTTCGACATGCTTGGGAAAGGATTTCTTCTTTAAGCAGCAGTTAAATAACTTTGCTATTATCGGGGATAATTCTGGGTTGATATTAAGGACGACTAGCTGGAATTTTGTCTGCATTATATTACTGATATTGTGCTCAGTGAGAAGTTCGAGAGGGAATGGCCTTTGTCATCTAACGTTGAGTTTGATGCAAAGAACGAGGTGAAGTGCTCCGTCTTGTCTGTTGAGGAGGATATGACCTCAGGGTCATTTATAATAATGGGCACAGCCGCTTTGCCTCTGTTTATAATTTGGTTGGTGATCTTCCAGAATTCGTGAGATCCAATTTGTTTGTTTTCAATCTTGGCCTGGACAGATCACGCGTAGCTGCACTTTGCGCTTGCCAGAACTCTCTTACAGAGATTGCAAGCGGTTCTGAAAAAGTAAAGACTTCGATCCTAGCGATAGATTTTGAAGTAGCGGTTCTAGTGAACTATGACTGCAGCATATTCAGAAGTAAACCAGGGCTGACATTTTGATTTTTAATGGAATGCAGTACCGAGACACGACAGAAGTAGAAAAGTCACACAAGGTAGTATTTGTGGGTAGATATGATTTAATCAATATCGATCCCAATATTCTAAATACGACACATAAAAGATCGATATGCTATACTAGAACCCGATCATGCTATCATCAAATATGAAACTTTTGTTTTTGTTTTGCCAATTCTTTTTATAAGAAAAGGCGTCGGTGTAAATCTGCTCGGACGACGTAGGTATTCATAAATGGAATAAGAATGAACTTGAATAGAAAATCAACATCCTGTATTAAATGTTCTAAGGAATAAGACTCGAGGTAAACTTAAAACAAGGACCTGGAATTAGAATAAAAGTCAATATTACCTACTCTGAATCCATCATAAAAAATCAGGATACTGAATTAGTAAATACTAAATTAAAACAGTCAAATACCTTTGTATATGGCTCAGTCATGTCAAATTTAGTACAGAAGATTGATAATAGATTAGGCTGTCCGCGGAGTAGTTTTGCCTAATACTACAAGTTGCTACAAAAGCAAAAACTTTGGCCTGAAAATTTGAGTCGTTCTTAAATTGCCTCATCAGTTCGAGATTTTATGTAGAGCTGATGCATGGCACCAAACCATTGCAGAAATCTGTCAGCTTTCTCAGATTGTTAAAAACATGACTGAGCGAATGAAGACCATCTTTCTTCGAACCTTGTGAATTGGCGATATAGAATTCCAGACAAAGAGCTTTACCGAATAACAAAGATCCATGACCTGAGGACTTTCAGCAGCAATAATTCAAATAGATATCATATGTAACTCGAATGGAAAATAATGACAATCAAGATGTTGACATACATTATCTAAAAACCAAAAAAAAAAAATTGAACTGAGAAGCTTATTTTCGTGAAAAATTGTTTTAAGAGAAAGATTTTTTTACAAATTTCAGTCGAGAGTAATACTGGCTGTTTCGTCAATGAATGCGAAATGTTTTCTGATAAGGAAATGGTGAATGCTCCCATTCGCCATCACCTGTTTTACATTCTTTTTTTTTCTCGTCCCCCGAGTTTTTTTAGGATGTTCAGCTTTTAGAGACTCAAATCTGGACCGAGAGAATTTAGAGGCTTGGGAGATGTAATGTCATGTTTAGAAACCCCTCCTCACCCACCAAAATAAAAAAAGAGAGAGAAAGAATTTATACGGTCAATCTTTGTGAATATAAGTGTCACACAACTCACAAGCTCAATCAGTGAGATCTCACTGTAAACAGAAAGCAGAGTAAATAGAGTTTGCGCCTTGGCCCGACACGCAGTGGAGATAATTACCCCCATTTAGTTGGTAGTAAAGGCTGGTGCTCAAGACTAGATTAAAAACAAACAAACAAACTAAAAACGAATCTAAATACGATTTACTAAGGCAAGTCCATAACGCAATGTCAAAAACTTCGTAAATATCAAATCTGCGTTTATGTTAAAGCAGTTATTAAAAGCCTCAATAATTACGACATTGACCCTCTAATAATGTTATTGACCCCCGCCACAGATCAATGTTTATTATTATTTTATTTCTTTTGGTTTCTGGTGTGTACTCATTACTTTCCAGGTCCCACCCACAGATCAAAGGTCAGAAATGGAATCATTTTCCTCTGGGCAATTAAAAGACCACCTCTCCCGAAAAACAAAAAAAAAAACCAACACATTTTATAAAGCCTTTCGTAAGGTGTGGGCTGTACTCGTGAGAATAAAGCATGGGCTTCCAGTAATCCCTTCAATGAGTCTATTAGAATCTTGTCCAACCAATCCGAGGGCCCCAACTACAACAGGGATTGTTGATATTTTCATGTATCACATTTGAGATTTCGATTTCAAGTTATTTGTATTTTGATAGGTTTTTGAAGATCTTCAAAGATATCTGAATGGACTGCCATATCAATAAGGAGGCAATTTTTTTTTTGTTTGCTGTCGAATCACGATGTCAGAGCGATTAGCTTTGATTGTTCGGTGTGTGTATTGTGTAGTTCTATAAAATTGTTACAGGTCCTATCTCCGTAACCGGGTCTGGGTGGTGTTTATACCAATTTCTTTCAATTTTCTTTCCGTAGAAGTTGCAAATTTTCCAGTGCAGATATTAGCCCATTCTGTCATGCCGGGTTTTATATTCAGTGAGTGCCAATACCGTGCAAACATTATTATTATTAAGTGCTAGTCTTAGGAAGTATGTGATTACTTACGATTAAATAATCCTAAACGTTCCAAAACAGTGCAATCAAAATTAGAATAAAGGTGTAAGGCACGAGGATATAAAAAATGGTGGGGGGGGAGAGAGAGAGGGAGAGGGGGAGAGAGGGAGAGAGAGGAGAGGGAGAGAGAGGGAGAGAGAGGAGAGGGAGAGAGGGAGAGAGGGAGGAGAGAGAGGGAGAGAGAGAGAGGGAGAGAGGGGAGAGAGGGGAGAGGGAGAGAGGGGAGAGGGGAGAGGGGAGAGAGGGGGGAGAGGGGGAGGGGAGAGAGGGGGGGAGAGGGGAGGGGGAGAGGGGAGAGGGGAGAGGGGGGAGAGGGGAGAGGGGAGAGGGGGGAGGGGGAGAGGGAGAGGGGAGAGGGAGAGGGAGAGGGAGAGGGGAGAGGGGAGAGGGGGGAGAGGAAGCCGGACGTCTTAAAATATACGAAGAGACTCATTCAAAAATCTGATATGTGGTCAGAGTTTATCGTAACGGTTTTAAGGCATTGCCTCTCCCCAAAATAGAAGTACTCCCACAATCGAGATTTGGCTCTCTGCAACTTGTGACTCTTCCCAAGTTTAAATATTTCCTTTGAAACTTCGAAGACGCGATAAAAGGAGAACGTGACGAGGCAGCTGAGAGCGATTCTGTAAAAGGACTTAGTTTTAAAAAGCAAAAAGGACGCTAAGATAAGTGTATGAGGCCAGAAGGGGACTAAGGTACTATTTTCCTAGGTAGGCTATTTTATTGCTAATATTAAATTGCCGGACAGTATCGTATATATATCTTAGTATTACTAAAAGATGTGAACTTGCCTTCATCAACAATTATTTAGTTAGCAACCATAATGCAGAATTTAGGGGAAGTAGCAAAATTCATAGCTTTCCCGGTTGATTCAATACTTACAGAAAAATCGATGTAACAACATGAACTCAAAAACTCTGTCTTTGAAGTATACTATTTAGAAGATACTGAAAACGAGGCTAAATCTGAGCTCTTAAAACATGGCCTTGTGTCACACTAAAGTAACATTATCGTCCAACAGCTCAGAACAAACGATTCAGTTACTTGTTTGTTCTGAATCTTTCCACACACACACATGAACACATTCTAGTTTATCCAGATTGGTACAATGGAAAACGAATGTCATCTTAAAATATATCATATAGTAATGTGATACGATTAAAAATGGCGGAAAATTATTACGTGAATATATACTTGGATTTCATTTATTAGAAATAATTGCGGCCGAGTAAACAGCAGAGGCAAGTTAACCATTTTAGTCATTAGGATTTATTGTCCAACACCATTATCTGGCCGATGCGTTGGACAATGGATTCTAATGACAAAATATCGATTAATTTCAGGAGACCTTCTTCGTGTGTCCTAAATTTAACGACGGACCATTTGATCTCATGTCCGGCATCGATCGGCAATTTTGGAGTTCTATTCACTTCGCCTGGTTATTTTGGCGTGTAATGCAGTTCGGATTGAACTTAATGCAAAGGCGAGACTAATTAAAGCTATTGTTGGGGGATAATTAGTGTATAAACGGTGGAGAGAATATGCTTGTCTGCGTAGAGGTTTCGTGACTTTTGCCCTGACGTTCGCACACAATTTGTCTTTCCTCAATGTCTTACACGCATGAACAAATAACACAACCACATAGAGGTACATACTGAGCCATGACTAGTATATATATATATATATATATATATATATATATATATATATATATATATATATATATATTTTAATTAGACCATGTATGTGACTTTTTGGTATAGAAAATACTTTTACAACTCTTATATGCCAAAATTCAAACCATATACCAAATTTTGTTTGGACAACAAATCTCATTCTTCTGCACTTTGCAGTGGGCGCGAAAATTCGCCAACTGTTTCTACTGTAGGGAGTTAAGACACCAGCAAAATTGGCAATCGTCAAAAGAAACGCATGAAGACTCGAGCGGGAACACGGCCAATCTTTGCCGATGGGTCCGAGCAGAACACGGCCAATCTTTTGCCGATGGGTCCGAGCGGGAACACGGCCAATCTTTGCCGATGGGTCCGAGCGGGAACACGGGCCAATCTTGCCGATGGGTCCGAGCGGGAACACGGCCAATCTTTGCCGATGGGTCCGAGCGGGAACACGGCCAATCTTTGCCGATGGGTCCGAGCGGGAACACGGCCAATCTTTGCCGATGGGTCCGAGCGGCCAATCTTTGCCGATGGGTCCGAGCGGGAACACGGCCAATCTTTGCCGATGGGTCCGAGCGAACACGGCCAATCTTTGCCGATGGGTCCGAGCGGGAACACGGCCAATCTTTGCCGATGGGTCCGAGCGGGAACACGGCCAATCTTTGCCGATGGGTCCGAGCGGGAACACGGCCAATCTTTGCCGATGGGTCCGAGCGGGAACACGGCCAATCTTTGCCGATGGGTCCGAGCGGGAACACGGCCAATCTTTTTGCCGATGGGTCCGACACGGCCAATCTTTGCCGATGGGTCCGAGCGGGGCCAACTGAGCGGGAACACGGCCAATCTTTGCCGATGGGTCCGAGCGGGAACACGGCCAATCTTGCCGATGGGTCCGAGCGGGAACACGGCCAATCTTTGCCGATGGGTCCGAGCGGGAACACGGCCAATCTTTGCCGATGGGTCCGAGCGGGAACACGGCCAATCTTTGCCGATGGGTCCGAGCGGGAACACGGCCAATCTTTGCCGATGGGTCCGAGCGGGAACACGGCCAATCTTTGCCGATGGGTCCGAGCGGGAACACGGCCAATCTTTATAGACTCACGTATAATAACAGATGATGACATTAAATAAACTAACAGTATAACTTAAAATCCACGTCCAAACCACCGCTTCGCATACCTGATGTTAACACATCCATTATGCAACTCTGATCAGATGTTTAAATACTTAAGAAATAATAATTTTTTTTTTTTTAAGAAAGAAAGAAAATGGTCAGAAAAATAAAATAGTGGTCATAAACACATTCAACGTCAACGTATAGAAATTAACCTTGAGTGTGCAGGCCAAGGACCTAACAATAAGAACATTCAAGAGACAAAATAGCATTGGTGCAAAACTGGTATTACATTAGCGTGCAGAGGACAAAATGAAGACTAAGCTCAAATTCCAGCAAGAGGGATGTTAACATTTGGCGGAAACTTGGTATACCAGCCGGTGCAATCCATTTCAACAGTGTCTAAATGTACAAAGACGTAATCATTCAATATACTTTGAATATTGCTGCCACGACTAGTCTGTGTTCTTTAGGTAGCAATCAAGAATTTCAGGAAGCTACTGACAAAATACAAAACACATTATATGAGGGTATGCAAAAAAAAAAAAAAAGATTAAGCACAACCCATTTTAAAAAATTCTGAGTTATTTTTCACTGTAGCTTGAAAGATTTTTTTATATCGATTAAGGAAAGACACGAACATTTCACCATCTGAGTGCAGAAATTAGGTGTTTAAAACTACAAAATTTAAGGCACATGTTAGAGGACTAAACCGTTGGTTTAAACACATCTGGTTACTTGGCGTTTAATCCCTTCGTAGATAATAATAAAGTGCCATATTCTTGATCGGTGCCACAAATGGACAAGATACAAAAATGTTAAACAGACTAATAATAGAACTTCCTTAAGCGGAATTAGAACAATTTATCTTTCAGCTCAAAATTCGGTGATTTTACGATAGATGTTAAAACTGCCAGTACATTTTGATCCATGATGAGAATATTAGCACGAATGGTAAGACTTGATAATCCCTTATCTAATAAATCCCGACAGATTTGGGAGAGCACAGAAATTAGAAATTCATCTTAACTGAAAAATATGGTCGCACAATTTACTCATGAAATAAATCTTTGTATCCTGCTAAAGTCAAGATTTGAAATTAAAAGCGTTTTGTGTTAAACAAAACTGAAAACTCTCTACTATAAAGCAGCAAAAGATACAAATCCTGAAGAAATACTTTTTAAATCAAACGAAATTCAGTAGAGAAACCAATGACTACAAACTCCAAGAGTCTCAGATCTAAAAGGGAAATAATTTCTTGAATTTTTTTTTTAGTTTTGCAATATTTTTAGATGGACGGATAGGCGTCAGTGAATTTATTGCGCCATCAAGAAGTTTTTTTGATTCACTTTCAGCCAACTGTGTATATTTTTGAGATGAGGTATTGTAACTATTTACATTGTTTGGACTTTTTCAGTTAATTCCCTTTAGTAACACAAATCTCAAAGGTTTTTTGTTGAGTTACTTAAAGGGAGATAACTTAAACTGAGATATCCAGAAAAGGCATGGCACGTGGAACTAGAACAATCTACTCCCGTGGACTAAAAGGGTTCATTTCGAAAATTCCAGCGTATATCACCAAAAGAAGGCCGGAACCTACAACGATCAAAACGTCGAAATATAACAATAAAGATGAGGACAATAGTCCGAATAATGTAAATTCTAAGTGTGTTAATGGCGCTTATTAAAGTTATAGGCATCTATATCCAAGTCATTTTTTAAAAAACATTTTTTTCTATTTACATTGTTCGGAGTGTTGTCCTCATTTTTGTTGCCATATCCACGATGTTTAATCCCCCCCCACATCGCATAACGCGCGTCCTTCAACCACACTTGTTTTGTCATAACGTTCGAATCTTTCTGGATATGTTCCACATTTATCTTTCAACATCACAGTCGGACTTGTGACAATCTGCGAAATTCAGTCGACTGATTCAATATTACATAATGTTTTCAGAGATGTCTTTTTTTTTTTTTTTTTTTTTAAGTGTTGCCATATTCAAATATAGCAACACTTGAACCTACATTTGTATATTTTTCTTTGCTTTGCAAAGTGGGTTTTTGAACTTCTCAGCGTGTAACTTAAAATCGCCCCGTGCTACTGAAATAGATTAAATCGGTCAAAATGTCGTGAATATGGCAATAAAGATGAGGACAACAGTTCGAATGATATAAATAGTGTAAATAGTTACTATACCTCATCTCAGAATGAGACAGATATAATAATATAGAACAATTAAAAGTTCATTGTAAAACCACCTAATAGTTTTGTCTATTCTATCGACAGAATTACGGACCTGATCTTCTGTTCGACCATCAAGATATCAGACTGTACTTCTGCCCTTTCACTACCCATCTCTCATCTTGACAGATGACTTGCAACTGTCGCTGGCTACATCTACCTCTCGATAGATGGTTCGAAACTGACCATCTCTGACCACTAAGACTGGCCCATTCTAGAATGTAGCCTGACTAGATAAGCCCACAACTGGAATTCCCTATCTTCCGGCTGAGTTGCACTTAATCCCGAAAGTTTTTATTCATTCATTCCCTACTTCTGAACGGTGGGTGGTTGCTTTGAAGATATATCTGTATTTCTGGTTGCCATAAAACTATATGTACTTCCAGACGAGATAAAATCATTTGTAGTTCACTTAACTACGTGGGAATCCTTAACCACTAGATGGCCACGGCTCATGTCAATGCAATTATTACGGAATTTGTTTCGCATATATTCACATGTGTAGCAAGTTCCATCCCCCACCGTGTGTCATTCTTACTAAGTCAGATCATTAGTTGAGCAACCATAACCAATTTAGCTTTGCACCAGATTAAGGTATTGACATTTATAATGAGAGATATTGACCGATTTTAGAAGTTTAGAAATGTTACTTCGATACGTTTCTATGATTTCAGTTATTCACAATCTATCATTTTGGATTTAGACAGTGGAACGTATCCAGAAATCTATTTTCTGGATAGAATAACTGGGTTTGGAAAAGGTTGAGCTAATGGGAAATTTGCGAAGCAGTAAGTTTGAATCGATTGATTTTGTTTAGCGGTATATCAACACATTTATGAGTTATTTAATGCCGAAATGAAAATATTTTCTACGTAATTTTATGGATTCAACTACGGCTATTTTGTACAGAATTTTATACTTTCATAGCAAAAGTCTGCTTTTTAGAGAGATTAGTTTGTAGATAATAAAATGTGTCGTTTTTTTTTATTTCACAAAACCAATGTATTGTTGGTAATCCTTTTATAAAAATGTATTTTTATACTTTTTAGTGTTTATTGTTGGTCATTTTACTACTAGCCTACCGAGCTATTTAATCAGTATTTAACCCATAGCGAAGGGGTAAAGATGGATTAATGCCCTCCCGAAAGGCGTTTGTGCGAAAGGGAACGCAATAGATTAAGACAGAATTTGAACTCGCTTCGCCGATTCCATATTCTGCGCCGATATCCGTTACACTACCCGAACATGCAATGTGAAGCCGCCTCATAAAAAACAAAACAGAAAAACGGAGAGATAGAGATGAAATGTAATCAGAAAAGACAAAGCGCGCATGTTGAAAAGTGAGCCTCAATTGATTGCAAATTGATAAAGATGCTTTGTATTGAAATAAAATAACGTCAAAAAAACTGAAGACAAAAAGAAAAATAGATTTTTTTCAGACAAAGCAAAAACACTTAGCAATTTGTTCCATGCCGTGATGTCACGTTACAAAGATAACCAGACTTTTATAATCGCTTTTCACATTTCTTTTGTTGATTTTCTTATAAAGGTAATTTTCTTTCGCATTTTGTTTGTTGATAGATATTTTTTTTCTTTTCTTTTGCCAATAGACAAAATATCAACAATGGTTGGATTGTTATGAAAAAGTCTATAGAGGTCACCAGTTTTTTGTTTTTATATCAAAAGAAAAAAGTGAAGCGTCAGCAACAACAACAAAAATAAACCCACCTGGCAAAAAGAAAAAAGAAATACGCCCAAAATCTAAAAAACAAAATGATAAAAATCTTGACAAGTCTTAGCAGCCAGCACAAAAAGATTACATTTCTTATAAAGCATCCAGCCTGAAATGCTGGGGTGTGGCAGTGACGAGTGAAAATCATTTGACAGGTAAATTACAAACGCCACACCCCAATTATATAAGTAGATATCAGCTTCATATCCCAAGTAAGGATCAAGTGAATAGGTACCGTGAGAGTACCGCAGATTTTAGAATATTTCAAAAGTACAATTCCAGAAGTATTATCAATTTATCTGCAAGCGAAAGAAAAAAAAAGAATTAAAAAAAATAATTTGACTAAAAAATAATCTATTCGTCTTCAGAATTACCTATTTAAGTAATGTACTCTTCTGGTGACAGAGAAAACTGGCACACACATACACATATATATATATATATATATATATATATATATCGTCAGCGCTTAGCCTTGGAGCGGGTAGAATGGAGATTAACGTGTTTTAGTGGACTCAGCAATTTTCAATCTGCATGTCTGAATCATCTTCAAGGAGAACGATCTAAAAGGTCAGCCAATCTAACAGTGATCTCATCTCACGATCCTCACGCTTGCTCCATATGTGGACTCCTTTGTAAATCACTAGCGGGTCTTAAATGCCACTTAAGATTATCGCAAAAACTTTCATAACTGAATCAATAAGCTGTTAGATCCTCATACGTCGAAACCTACGGGAAAGTCCATTATATATATATATATATATATATATATATATATATATATATATATATATATATATATATATAATAAAATAAATTAACTGATTTGAAATATGGTTTCTTCGCTACACCGGAATTACCATGTTTCAAAAACCGAAGCTAAAAACTTGAATTTTATAATTAAAAACATTAGTTCTGTTTCCTATTCAAGCGAATTTTGGAATAACATTTAAAATTTACTGAGATTTAAACGCACATATAATTCATAATTTGTTTTTTTCAAGGATACAGAGAAATCCAATCATTTAGACAGGGG